CCCCAAAACCCCAAAACCCCAAAACCCCATAATGATATTTAAATAAATGGTATTTAGAAGCATTTAAATAGGAATTGATTATACATTATTAGCTTAGATATAAAGAAATCCATTATTATATATGAGTACTATATCATCGTGAGAAGCACGAGAGCGATCATTAATCATTAAGGACAGTATTTGAGCGAGGGCTTTTGCTGCTCTATTATTTATTATTTTAAATATAATTATTACCCCTACTCTATAAGTCTTATATTGGTATCCCGTTGTTATCAATTTTGTATATTGTAATGTTCACATTAATTGGGGCTTACTATTGATTTGCAATATTTTTTTTCAATTTATTAAAGCCAACCTGTGTCATGTTTGGAATATTACCATTAAAAACGAAATTCTAAGCAATATTATTTACAGTACCATAGGGCATGCTGCCTTATATGTTACTAGTATTATTAAGAATAGGCCGCTGTTAGGATGTATAGCCTTGACCTCTTGATTTTATAGAATCTTATTTAACTTATGCTTGTCTCTGTTAAATTTACTCTTATATCTACTTTTAGAGTCTAGCAGCATCAACTGAACTATTAAGCTTCGAAACACCTGCCGTTGTTGGAGGCATTCTCTAAGGATTGAAATTAATCTAAGTCTATTCAAGTGCTGTATTGGAGCTATTATATTCTTGATCAACTGGCTAAGTTATTACACTCTTGAAAACCTTTCTCTTCGGTGCAATATACTATGTCATATTCTATTGATTGGTACTGTTGTTTATCATACTATTGTTCAAGCTCGGTTTCCTATTAGTCTAATAAACTATCGCTGAAATATTTTACATATTTAGCTGTTGATTTTTGTTCTTGTTCTTCTTAAATTTTACAGCATCTCTTGGTGTAAAATACATAAAAGGAATGTCGTAATTTGTTGTAAAGCCCCCATAATTAGCAGCATTAATTAAGTTTTATTGGTTTTACTGATTTGTTGTTGTGTTCAATGGCTTCTTATACTAGTTAGCAGTTTATAGACCTGAAATTACTTATGGAAGCATCTCGTAGTCTTAAGATGAGTTGTTTTAGACAGCTGTTGATTTCCTATTTTAAAGTTACTTTCTTTGACTCATATCAATAATTGGAGAGTTTTAGGGTTAGTTTTAGGATTTTTAATTGTTAGTTGCTTAATCGAAAGTTGATATTTATTATTACTGATTTTAAAAATAAGAGTGCGGAGAGGGAGATTAGTCTTATCTGATAGAGACATTAGTCTTGTTGTTCTAAACAGAAGTTTAATATCTTTAAGGAATGACTGTATTGTTCATGGGAAGTTTATTTTGCCCTATTGGCTCCTATGATTTTAGTCTTGTTGAAACAGAGTTTTTTGCGGTTCCATATTCCTATACTCCAGGAAGCTAAGTTGTTGTATAATTGGTCTAAGTAAAATCTTAACTAAACTAGCCATACTATGTTCTATTGATCATCGCATTATTAGACTAGCTGCTACTTCTTATATGTGAACGAAACACTAAGTTCTATTTTTATTGTTGGTCTTCAATGTACTTTTAAGGATTATAAGTTGTGATATCAGCCACACTCTTGCCGCCAGACCTAAGATGCTTTTTAAGAATCAAATAATAGGTAGTGGTTTACTAATTATGTCTATTTCCTTCAACAAATTTTTTAGATTGCTCTAAATCAAAGCCATATTATTCAAGTTACGTGATTATGTCAGTATCAACTGGAATCGGATGAGTCCCGACAATGATACCTCCATAATCTTTGACATTCACTATATTGTACCAAGCATGCTTTCTTATATCTTCAATTTTAATTCTCTAAGTTGGATCGGTTACCAAAATTTTTGTCATGAGATCTCGGCATTCAGTACTTACAAACTAAGGTATCGAATAATCTGCCCCAAGAATCTTTTTATAAAGTAAATTAGTATTAGGATCTTCAAATGGTAAGTATCCACATACCATTGCAAACAATATTACACCACAGCTCCATATATCTGACATCAATCCATTATATCTCTTGCCAGCAATCATTTCAGGAGCAGCATAGCATGGACTACCACACGCTGTCTTAAGCAATTCATTATTCTTGTAAGTGTTGCTTAGACCAAAGTCAACAATTTTAACGTTATTGTGTTCATCCATCAGCAAATTCTCGGGTTTGAGATCTCTATGACAAATGCCTAACTTGTGTAAGTATTCAATGCCTGATATTATCTAATGTAAAAATCTTGATGCTTCTTTCTCTCTTAATCTTTTACGATGGACGATGTGCTCAAACAACTCACCTCCTCTAGCATACTCCATCATCAAGTAAAGTTCCTTGCTTGTTTCAATAATTTCATATAATTGTACAACATGGGGGTGTCTAACAATCTTTAATATATGTATTTCTCTTGCAACTCTTTCAACATCACTAACATCAGCTATTTTATCCTTTTCTAATATCTTTACAGCAACCTTTTCTCCTGTAAGAACATGAGTTCCGACTTTGACCTTTCCAAAGGTACCTTTCCCAAGATCCCTTCCTATAATTTTAAACGATTTTAATAAGTTTACCTAAAACATAGTTTCCTATTGTTTGGGGCTTTTTCTCCTAATTTTAATCAGATTTAGGTTAACCATTTGATGGATTTGATGACTCAGTTTATTATTAGTTAAGTGAAGGTTAGTTTTTACTCTCCCTTTTATGATTTGGACTGTCGTTCATTACTTATTGCAAATTAGTATTATTTTTCTATGAATCATTATTTGCCATTATATTTTGACAATTATTTTGATATCATTCTCAGTAATTTCTGAAAAATATTCTTGATGGGGTTTTGGGGTTTTGGGGTTTTGGGGTTTTGGGG